CAAACATTTCCTGCGACAGTTCGAAGCACCCGGCCGCCTCGCCACCGTTCGAGTTGATGTCGTAGATAATCGCCTGCACATCGGAGTCCATCAGCGCGGCGTTGCGCTGCGAACGGATGAAGTTGTAGCCGGTCACGTAGCCATAGTAATAACCGCCGTAGCGGTTAATCAGGGTGCCGTGTACCGGGATGATGGCGACGCCGTTGGAGTAGGCGAAAGGCTTGTCGGCGGAGGGCTGACCCATGCCGTACGCAGCGCACAGGTTTTCGCGCATCTGCTGCTCTGCCTGCTCCTGATAATCTTCGTCTTCGCAGATCATCATCTGTTGCAGGTTCGCCATCATGGTCGAGTCGTCATTCTTGACCGCAATCGGGTTGCCGTTCATGCGGTTGAGCGCCATCATGACGCTCGATCTAACTTGGTTATTCATTCGGGGTGTCCTCGTTGTCCGGGTTGTCCGTGCCGCCGCCGTTGGCGTTGGTCTGCGCTTCGGTTCCTTCTACCACCGCGCCGGAGAAGTTCAGGCCCAGCTCTTTGATGATGCCTTCCTCGCGGGCGCGCTGCTTGAATACCTCGCGGAAGTCACCACCCAGACGGGCAATCTCGGCTTCGTACGTTGACAGGCCATTCTTGATGCGCAGGATCGCCGCTTCGGTTTCTTTCTTCTCGTCGATCTGGCCCCGGCTCGCGCCAATCCACTCTGCGTTGCAAAGGGCATCACGCTTCATCGGGTCGTAGAAGTCGCGCCAAGTCATGCCCGGCGGCAAAGGAACATTACCAGCATTGACCTCTTCCTCCAACCACAACACGTAAATCATGGACGCCAGTTTGTCGGCGACGAGCTTTTTGCGGCTCTCCATGTACTTCCACGTTTCGGCCATTGAAGCGCGGGCGGACGAATAGTTGGTCTTCGTGTAGTCCCGGCTGAATTGCTCATAGGACAGGCCGAGCGACGCCGCGATGTTGCGCAGCAGCGACTCTTCGTAGTCCGTGCCGACGCCTCCCGGCGTACCGGCGGGTTGCATTTTCAACTTCGTGCCCGGGAAGAGGTGCGGGATCTTCACGCCGTCGATTTTGATGTTCTTCGACCCGGCGAGGTATTCCGCCAGACTCGCCATGTAGCCATTCAGGATGTCGCCGAAAGGCGTCTGGCCCATGCCGAGCTGCGAGAAGATCACATCCGACGGCAGCTCCGACTCGATGGCCGCTGCGTAGGTCGCGTTCACGATGGCGTTCTGCAGCGTGATCTCTTGGAAATTACGCGTCATCTTCATCTGCTTGAGCGCCGACACCATTTCGCTGATACCGCGAGTCTGTCCCGGGTGCAGCGCTTCGAGGATGTGGATCACCCGGCGGCGGCCCCAATCGAAGCGCGCAGGCTCGTATGACCAGCTCCAGTTGTCGATGTTGGTCGGATCGCCCGGGAACGCTTTGCGCAGGTGGTAGCCGACTGGCGCGCCGTACTTGTCGATCTGCACGCCGGAGCGCAGAAACTGATCGTCCATCACGCCATTCGGGTTCGACAGGCGATACGGGCTGATCAGCTGAACCGCTGTCCCGAACGGGCGTCGCATCACCACGCTGCGACCGATTGGGTTGACCCATTCGCAGGTGCCGAGGATCTCGCCGTTCATCAGGAAGCCGCCGACGCCGAGGCGAATCAGGTCGGTGAAGGTCTTGGTGCGCTGCGCGTCGAACCAGTTTTCCGGCGACTCGGCCACCATGTTGAAGCGGGCTTCCACCACCTCCTGAAACTCTTCGCTCCAGCCGTCCGGCGCGCCCAGCACCAACGCGTTAGGCTTGGCGTTCAGCTTGTACTGCGAGCCGACCACCGAGTCCTTGTGCATCGCCACGGCACCATTCGCGTAGCCGTCGTTCTGCACCATGTCCTGCGCGCGGGCCGACGCCAGCGTCTGGTCGCGGGCGATCTGCTGATCAGGGGAAATGATTGCAGGCTCCCATCGGAACATTTCACGGGTATTTCTTTCTGCCCCTTCCATGCCGCCGCCAATGGCCTGCGGAACGGCCGGGGTGGCATCTGCCACCGCGACCTTCGTGCCGCGTCGTGCGCGTGTCGTTTTCACTGCTTTCGGAGTTAATGTGCTCATGGGAATAAGAATCCTACTGGCCCGCTTGGCAAGCCCATGAAGGCTTCGCAGGGATTATCGGATTTGAGCGCGTTCTGCAGCCGCACGATGTAGGCCCACAGGTTCTGCCTGTTGGCCGCCGTGTACTCGACGCGCTCGCTGTTTTGGTCGACGACCACGCGGACGGATCCGCCGATCATCAGGTCATGGTAGGCTTTTTGTGCCTCTTCGAGCAACTTCTGGTACATCGCCCGGCATTCTTCTGGGGTCATCACGTGTCTCCTGTCAGGCCATTAGTGCGGCTAGTTCTGCAAAACTGTATTTGGAATCCGATACCGGTTCAAACTTTTTGTCCTCTTCCGGCTGCCGAATCATGAAGTTGTCGTCCCAATCGGCGGCCCAGCCCGGCGGGTTTTCCCAATCCAGTTGCTCGACTGCCAGAAGGCGGCCACTGACGCAGACGCCGAGGACATAATAACTCAAGTCCCACGTTTCGTTGCGTGACGAATTCGGGTTGTCCCAACCTTTCTCCGTTCGCACCTCGACGCACAGCTCCGAGTACACGTAGTCCGCCACCCAATCGGGGATGTGGTACATGCCTTTGCCCGGCTCCAGTACGTCCAGTCGTCCGTTCAGCGTGTCCTTCATGATGTTCGAGTTTATCATCAGCACCGGAACGTCGCCGCGCGCGATGGCTTTTTTATCCTTCTGGTTCGAGTCAGGCAGCGCTATGCGGGTGCGCGGGTTGTTCACCTTGCCGTCGCCCTTAACCAGACAGAAACGAGCATGGTGGCCTTCTGAGCGCAGTTTCCGGTAATACTCGTACGCGTTGCCGGTAACGCCCGCTTCACCGCCGGAGTCGCACGCGGTCATCTTGATCGGCATCTTCCGTCCGCTGCCGTCCGCGAGCGGGTATTCTTTGTCCATCACCAGCTCTTTGATGAGATCCCAATCTTCCTGATATGCGCCGGGCTGCAGGATCATCGGGTCGTTGTCCACGTCCAGTCGGCGCGACTTCATGATGTTGAAGCGGTCAACGATGTACGTGTCGAACGGGTACCCCGGGCCGATGCCCATCACCAGCACCTCGAAGCGGTGTTTCTGCACGTCGACGGTTGCGACAAGGAAGCGCACGCCTTTCGGCACCGTTTGCTCCGGCCATTTCTCTGCCCGGGCTTTCAGCAATTCAGGCACGCGCATCGACTCGATCGACTTCGGACGGTACGGCTCGCCCATGTCGTTGTTCCAGAATTTCTTCAACGTACTCTTCCGACAGGGTTCGCTCATAATCGTCGGAGGCGTCGAGGTAGTTCAGTACCAGCTTCTGCCATGTGATGAAGGCCGCCGCCGTGCCGCGCAGCCAGAACGAAGCGAAGGAGGAACGCGGCTTCTCGCCGACGAGCTGGCCCAGCTCATTGACGCGGCAGCCTTCCGGCACCCACATGCCCCAAATGTTCATTTCGTACTTGTCCACCGGGCTGATCTCGCTGCCGCAATGCGGGCACGCCATGCGCACCGTTTCCGACTTTTCGAGGTTCGACAGGGGCGTCCCGTCGGCGGCCTTCGTGTCCCAGCGCATCAGATCAAACGTGCCTTCGAAATACTGGCTGCAATGCGGGCACGGCCAATGCCAGCGTCGGCGGTCGCCGCGATTGTATAACCCGACGATGCCGTCACATGGCGGGGCTTCGTGCGGCGATCGCTTGATCCAGTTCGGGTCGAGGATCGGCCGGGACGGCGAGGACTCGGCGATGCACATGGCGAACGAGCCAAACGTGGTCGTACGCTTTGATGCGAGGTCGAAGGCGTTACCATCGCCGCCGATGTCGTCGTCGATACGGTCATAGTCGGTGATGATGATGCGGCCAACCGGACGGCCAGCAAGTTCGGTTACTGACGGATAGCTCAATGTCAGGATGATGCCGGTGATGTAGTGCTTATCGAATTTGTTGTCAGCGTCGCGGTTCTTCATCAGCATCTTGCCGACTTCCGGGCTGTGCCGATGGAGACGGTCAACACGACGCATGGAGAAGTCGCGCGCCGCCGTGCTGGTGGGGCAATAGACCATCGTGTCCATCGGGTCGACACGCACCGAGTAAGCGATGCCGTTCAGGATCAGCGCATCCGTCTTGCCGGACTGCGCCGGGCCGACGAAGGCCATCTTGTCGTATTCCCGGCTGTTCAGCATGTTCATCGGGTCGACCATGTACGGGGTCGTGACGTTCATCCACGGCCCGACGTACGCGCCGGGCTGATTGACGTATCGATATTTGCTGGCGGCCTCGGCCACCGTCATGCGCATAGGCGGCCGCAACTGCTCGGCTACCGATGCCAGAATCTCGCCGATACTCTTAAACTTCATCGTCATCCACCTCGGATTCATCCTTGCGGAATTGATCTACCAGCGCCGTTGCGAGGTCGTTCAGTATCCCGTCGATGCTGGACTGCACGGCATTGCGCTGCGACTCGTTCAGCCCGGCGGTTCGGGTGAGGGTGTCGGGGATCAGCAGCATCGACATGCGAAGCGTCTTGACGGCATCGCCAAATTTCTCCACCACCTTCTCTGTTTCCCACAGGTTCCCGGCCTTGATGTCGAAGTCCTGCTTGGCGCGCTGGCCGTTCCAGAACTCTTTCGACAGTTCCTTCGGGAGATCCTTGAAGTTCATCCGGCGCAGGTACGTCTCGACGTCATACAACGGTTTGACCAGATACGGCGCGACCTCATGCACCGCATAGATAGGGTACCCGCCGCGCGTGCCAATCGGCGCGACGTCGATGATTTTCGGGGTGATGTCCCGGCGCTCCATGCGGAACAACTTGGCGAGCTGCGTGATATTGCAGCCCTGAAAGATCATTGCCTCGGTGTCCGCGTCCGGGGCATTTGACCGGCGTTTTCCGACCGCCGCTTCTGGTTTACTCGTCGTTGTCTTCGTCATCCCACAGCCCTTTTGATTTTGATTTGCGTCGGCGGGCCACTCGGCCCTTGATGCGTTCCAGCAGCTCGAAAAACTCTTCCTGAACATCGCGCTTTTCGTTCAGCGCCTCGATTACCGTCTCGTCGACCGTCGGCACTACCTTGCCGCTTGGCGTCACCAGCTCGGCCATCATCTGATAAACCGTCACCGGGTGCTTCTGCCCTTGGCGCGCCAGTCGGCCGTTAAACTGCAGGAACCGTTCGAGCGACCACGGGTTATCGACATAGACGATGACGTGGCCGCCGCGCTGCAGATTCAGGCCGTGCCCGGCGGATTGAGGGTGCGCCGCCAAGATGCGGATCTTCCCGTCATTCCACTTCTTGATGCACTTCCCGTCATCGTCCATGACGACCAAGCCCTTGCTGGTGAACCGCTCTTTCAGCCGCTCCAGCGTCGGCTTGAAGTGGTAGGCCAGCAGCACGTTCTTGCCTTCGAGCGTGGTCTGCAGCAGCTCGTCGAGGGCATCGAATTTCAGGTCATGCAGGCGGTAAGCATCCTTTTGCTTGATGACCTTATCGTCTTCCGTGACGCCGACGATCTTGGTGTCGTAGATGAACCCGGAGGCGAGCTGCAGCAGCTTGGCTTGTAGGCTGGCCGCCTGTTCCGCTTCGATAATCACCGGGTCGTCGATGTGCTCGTCGAAGTCCGGCGGCAGCAGCTCCACCACTGAATCCTCTTCCATCTGGCGGTAAAGCTCCGACGTCTCCGCATCCAGTCGCACCGGAACCGGCACAAAATTTGGTTTGTCTACGTCAAGGTAATCTTCTGCTTTCATGACTAAACATATATCAGAAATTTTGCGGGTAATCTCCTTTTCAGCGCCGTCACGCAACTTCCAGCGCCGCGTCCATCGGTTCTGCGTGAAGTAATTTTCCTGATATTTGGTTATCGCGGATCCGAAGCGCTCGCCTTCGTCCAGAAGATAGACCTGCGAGAAGATCCCCATGTAGCCCTCCGCCGCCGGGGTGGCCGTCAGCTCCACGAACCGCTTCATGTACTTCCGCACCCGGCGCAGCAGCTTGAAACGTTGTGAGGTGTGGGATTTGAACATGCTGGACTCGTCAAGGATCACCATGTCATACGGCCATTTCGTCTTGAAGTGCTCCACCAGCCAAGCAATGTTGTCGACGCTCACCGTGTAGAAATGGCAGTCCGTGGTCGCCGCCCGGATGCGTTCTTTCGCCGTGCCCGCGATGACCGACATTTTGTAGAAGCAGAGGTGGCCCCATTCCTCGAACTCGCTCGGCCAGCCAACCTGCGCCACGCGTTTCGGGCCGACGATCAGCACTTTGTTCACCTCCCCGGCCACGATGGCGTCAAGCGCCGCCGTGCCGGATATGACGGTCTTGCCCAGCCGAGGTCGATGAACAGCGCGCAGGATTGTGTCCCTGACGAAAATCGACGCCGGTGTTCTGGTATTCGTGCATGTCGCCGCGCTCCAGCTTGACG